GTAGTCGGTCCAAAACTGCCTTTATATGCTTGAGGTGTTCTTCTTTGGTACGACTGAATATCAAAATGTCGTCCAAGAATACCAACACAAAATTGTCCAGACCATCTCTCAACAAGTGGTTCATGATCCTCTGGAATGTGGCTGGTGCATTGCAGAGGCCGAAGGGCATCACTGTGTACTCAAATGAACCATATCTGGACACGAACGCCGTTTTGTGTATATCTGCCTCCTTCACCCGGATCTGATGGTATCCGGAGGACAGATCAATCTTTGTGAAATATTGGGCGCCGTGCAGACGGTCCATGAGCTCCTCAACCTTCGGGAGCGGGTACCGATTCTTGGTCGTTATTTTGTTCAGAGCCCTGTAGTCAATGCATAACCTCCACTTCCCGTCCTTCTTTGGAATGAAAAGGACAGGAGCTCCATAAGGGCTCGTGCTAGGCCGAATCCACCCCTGTGCCAAGAGATTGTCAATCTGACGCCTCAGCTCATCCATCTCAGCCACACTCAGCCTGTATGGGCTTTTGTGTGGTGGCGTAGCCCCGGGCGTCGTCTCAATCTCATGATCAACCACTCTTTTCGGGGGTGGCCCATATGGCAGCTTGTTAGGGAAAACATCCTTGTACTCCTCCAAAATTCCTTTCAGTTCATCCCTGACAGCTGGGTCGGCCTCTTGCACTTTCTTTTGAATGACCTCAGCAATCGGTACCTCTGTTTTCACCGGTCCGGTTTCCTTCATCAACCGACGGTGTTCTCCCTCTGTCTGGCCCTTGGCTGCACCAGCCTTGGTTTTGGACTTTGCTTTTTTCCTCTCAGGCAGCTCGGCTGTTGGCCTTATTAAACACAGGAGCATGGGCAAGTCACTTTTGTTTGCCCGCTTAGCTGCTTGCCTCACTGACATGAAGTCAATCTTCGGGCATATAGGTTGGCTGACAACACGTCCAGCCACCTTGACTTGCCTCCTGTGCCCGCCTTTGGATTTTCCCGGAGATTTTTCTCGTTCATTTGGCGAAGATGTTTCTGGTACTCCCCCCTGGGGAGACTCAACCGCCCTCGGCGAGTTACGACCAGCCATTGCCTCATGGCCTGGTGTATGCGCCCACTCCTGTACCAAGATAGTTGGTTCCCAGAATGATGGAGAACTCAACTTGGCGAGCTGATGACCCCAGTCTGAAGCAGGCTCGTTCCCAGAATGATGAGGAGAGAAAACGTGCTGGAGATCAGTAAGGCCACGGTCAATAATCTTGCAAGATGCATTTTGTGGTGTCTCAATTCCCTGAACCACCTCGAGTTTGTTCCCATTTCGCAAAACCAGGGAATTGGTCCTCCAGTCGACCAGCGGGTTGACAACGTCTAGCCAGTCCCGACCGAGAATAACGTCAATCCCGTCCATCATCGGGACTGCCGTCAGTGACACCTTACTGACCGTGTTGCCGATACATATCAGCACGTCTGGTGCGATTCCCGTGGAGACTACTGTTGCTCCATTTGCCAATTCTAGGGATGAATACGCACCAACGAATGACAATGGTGGTCTGGTTTTGATCTGGTCACTCACAAATGATCGAGTGGCCCCAGAATCCACCAAAGCTGACACACGTGTGTCATTAATCACTGCTCTGAGGATCAGGAGCAGGTGATCCCGTGCTACTGGCTCAGGGTCTGACCTCCCCTCAGCAATGAGCTCAGTAGTAGCTTCCTTCCGCTGAATCAGGCATTTGGGAACTCCCGCCATGTCTGACAGGAATTCAGTCGCCTTTGCAGGCGCCCCAACAGCTTGCCCCTGGGAAGCTAAGGTAGCCCTCTGTGCTGCATGGCGTCTCCGTCGACGTCGACATCTCTCCACCCTACGCCGCCACTGCCTCGACCGAAGTTGGCGCTTTTTCTGCCATGCACTGAGGTATGTCTGTGTAGTCCAGTCTTTCTGGCAAGACGGGGCTATGATGACTGGGTACTCTTCTGGCTGAACAGAGCTGAATTCAGTCAGTCTCCTTGCCTCTGATGCAAGGAAGCACCCCTCTGACACGGAGGCATGCCGAGCCTCCTCCCGGTTCATCTGACCGGCCATCCCTCTGAGTCCTGTCCTGGTGGTAATCACAACCACCCTGGGCTTTCCCTGGCTCAAGCCCTGTCCACGGTGTCCAGACCCTCCAGCATCTAGTCTCGGGTGGAAATGTGACTTATGCTGTTGAGGGGGACGGGCTGAGACAGTGTGCCCTTTCCCGCATAGTGATCCTGGGAACGAATCTACTGTGGATGTATGATAACCAGTAGAATTTGGCAGCATTTTCTTCTTATTCGTTTGACATTGAGATTTGCCACTTTTCTTGGCTCTTTTTCCTGCCTTCCTGCCTTTCTGCCTGTCGCTGATTGTCTTGCACGAGGAGCCTTTTCTTTTCACATCCTCTGTTCCGCACGAATAGTACTTATAGGCATCCTCCAATCGAGCGACCAACCTCTCAGCCTCATGCAACGTTTTAGGGTTGGCTTTGGCAGCTTCCAGCCTGAACGGCTGCCTAAGACCGAGGATCCATTGATGCAGGGCCGTTTTCACATCGTATCCCGGCACTCTGTTCATCAAGGACCTCATGCGCCCCATGTACGATAGCGCATCCTCACCCCGACGCTGATATAAACGGAGGAGTTCAAGCCTCGCGCGTGTTTCCCTCACGGGACTCTCAAACTGCGTCTTTAGAAGGTTCTTGATGTCCTCCACCGTTTTAGGCTTTTTATTCCCCCGTGAAACAAGCTCTGCATCCCACCAAATCCTCGCATTGCCTGCCAGTTGCAAAATGATGTATGACACTGCTTGGCGTTCAGAACACTGCACAAAATCGAGGTAATTCTCGACAGTTCTGAGCCAAAAGTTCACGTCCTGGCCTTTATCCCCGGTGAACAAGGGTGGTTCACGCGGTTTGATCTGTACTGTCAAGTTCGAGGCCGAGTGACGCGGCAGTGTTGATCTCAATGGCTGTGAAAACCTCCAGTAACCATATGTCTGATCAGCCATCGTACGCTGAGGCAAAACTGGCAAAGAATGTGAGGTACTGGGTCCTACGGTCTCTCCCATGTCCTGTCGGTCTCCCTGCTGAACTACCGACAAAAATCCAGCAGAAAGTGGAGAGAGTGGTCTCAGCTGGTCAACATCTGGTCTAACCAGCATACCCGAGATAGGTCCAGCCTGTAGTTCTGTCTGTGCACCAGAACTGGCTGCAAAACATCCGTCTGATCGAAAATCTGACCCTATGGGCTCCCTCACTATCCCATAACACTGATGACGATCCATCTGGTCAGTCATAACGGACTCGCCTCACGAACGAACGAAGAATGGCAGAGCAAATAAATAAAGAATGGCAGGAATGTCAACAATATCCCAATGTCCGGCACTGCGTCCCAAATCCCAGCACAACTGATGAAACTGACTGATGCTGATAACTGATACTGAGGTAGACCGTAGGCTGACCGCACGGAGGTCCAACCCTGGGTATATCCCAGAGCGTAGTCTCCCTCGCGCGCTGGATTGGCGGGCGCTGGGTCATGCGAGGTCCAGGGGGCGGCATATATATTTACGCCAGGCCGGGGGTGTGGGCGTTGGCTTTCAAACCTGCGAGTCACGTAGTCTGTCTCGTTCGCGGCCCGACACTCCACAAGTGTGATCGGACACTTGACGGATTCCTTGAGTGAGGGCTCACTGAGCCGGGAGGCTCATGACTTCGGAGGGGGGGTACTGTTAGCAAGCGGGAAACGATTGGGGAATTGGGAGCAGTCAGGAGATGGGCACGGTTTCGGAAATGGGGGGTTAGGAGTTCGATTGGGAGGTTAGGTGGGCTATGGGCAGTGATGTGCGGGGTACGGTGAGATGGGGTAGGTACTGGGTAGGGACCTCAGGAACGCCGGGGGGCGGACGGGTCTAGGTAGGCCGGCTTAGAGGAATAGGTGCGGGGGAGTGGGACCAGAATAGATTAGAAGGAAATGCTGAGGAGTTCAGGGTGAGTTCACGGGATTTCAATTAGAATGAAAACTGCTAGTATGCTTGTGCTGAGTGACGGGTCTGGACTTGTAGTGAAAGGTGCTGTCTTCCAATGGGAACACCTTTGAGCGTGGTACGATTGGGGAGGCGCCTATAAATAGATGGATCGTTCTGTAAGAAACACTTGGAGTTCTGACCAAATCGGTCTCTGGCCACGAGGGCCTGTCTTGAACGCATGACCTCCGCCGGGCATCCGCGAGTGAGCCGGCTGCCGTGCTGCCCATTCCAGGGTACCGGCACTTACATATCGGGAGGCAATTTGAAAGGGATGAGTTGCTAGTGTGCGTATGTGTGTTTGGCGCAGGGAAGCATGTAAGGGCGAGGGAATGGTTAAAATATGATGTGTGATACATGGCATTTATGGTGGGGAGTGAATATGTGAACATGGTGTTATGGTGAATATACATGGGGACAATGGAGTTGGGTGGTGAACATTATTGCAATGATTGGTATTTAGACTAATACACTTATCTTATAATGTGTCTGGTTACGGCCTTGCTTCCTGCGCCAAGGAGCGACCGTGTGTGCGAGCGCAACGGTGTTCAGTCAACTCGATAAAAAACATCATCATAATCATCATCATCGTCATTCTTACATAACTAGGCAATGAGGCAGCAATGACATTGGCAGAGTGTCGGTCAATCGGCAATGTAAACGGATGGCGACGTACGCCCTATACATTATAGACGAGTCCTGAGCCAGGATCCAATGGCGTTAAGGGTCCGCTGGGGCGCAGCTTGTTCGGCGCATTTGCTTTGTCTCTCACCTGTCGGAAGCATCGGGCTGAGGTGCGGCCCCTCCGGCGGCGCTCACTTCCTTTGACTTCCTTGCCCTCGATACACTGCTCGTAAAGCCGGTTTGGGACACATCCTTGGCACTTGGCGCAATCCGCCGCCAAGTCGGTGCGGAGCCCCCCGCCGCTGGGTGCCTCCACCGCTCGCTGGACCTCGAGGGGCGGGAAGGAGCCAAGATGGCGGACAGGTTGTGTGCGTCGGCACCGCTTTGCGGACATCGATTTTGGCGAATTGGCAAAAGATAGCACAGGCGGCCTTCGTCGCCGGCGGCGGCCGTGTTGCCGTAGCTGTTTCTTGGCGCAGTCTTGCAGGGCCCGTGAGCGTGCCTCGCGCCAGGGCAACCCCCCGGCGGCCAGGCCCGTTTTCTCTTGTGCTGCTGGCTGTCCTTGTTGTGCGGCTTTCTTTCTGGGACATTTGGAGCTGCGCGTGTGGCCAGGGGAGCCGGCGTGCTGGCGATGATTGGGAGATCCGGCTGAGTGCGAGGTCGCTGGTGACCGTTGGGTGCTTTGAGGGAGGCCTGTCGGCGCCTTGCCGAGGCCTCAGGATATCTCCACGTCCATTCTGGACATTTGAATTCTGGGCGTATTCCCCTCTCCGACCCCAGTAACTGATTTTTCGTTATTTTTGTGAATGTTGCCGGAGGTTGGGCTGAGCAAACTAGGTCTGTGATCCCATGGGGCTTTCCCGAGGCATTTCACCTCTAGGGGCCAACATTGGACAGCTTTTGGTGAAACTCCTCCAAACCATTACTTTGATGTTGATGGAGTCGTTGAATGTGCGTTGCTCATTCTGTCCCAGGGTGCTCTGCAAGTACTTTAAGAATGGATGCTGCAAATTTGGCGAAAGCTGCGTTTTCTCCCATGACTTTAGCGATGGCGCGGACATGGTGCGCTCACCTTCAAGGCAACGATGATCTGATGCCCAATTCATCGCAGGATTTAGTTCTTGCCAGTTTGTTGGCCTGAACACACACCGCAAACTATGCAGGACTATCTGCAATATACAGCACAAATCCCAGCTGTGCATTGTTTGGCATCGATTGCCAACCATCCCTGTTCACTTCAGTGCCATACCTGAAGCTATGGGCAAGCATGGAACCAAGCTTTGCGTCAAGCCTGCTTCACTGGCAAAGTGCCAGGCAATGAACTAATTCAAAGGGATCTGTAAGTGCATCATATTTATGTTGTGGATGATGTTCAGTGTGCAGCTCAGAATGGATACTGTCTGGCCTTGGGTGGGGTATTCTTTGCAGCGTTCGTTGGTTGACTTTCAGATGGCAATAATGAACGAGGGACAGTCGTTTCACTATTCCTTCTGTTCACATGCCCAACTTCTTCTGACATCTGCTCCACCCACATGCGGCGGATGAACACACAGTGCTTCTGTGCTGGTTGTCAAATAACTGCTGTCCATGGGGTACATTCATTTTGGATAGGTGTGTAAATTCTTCCTTGCCGGAAATTGCACATATGGAGACAAGTGCCGGTACGATCATGTACGGCCTGACTGGTGGAAGAAGCGCGAGGTCATGCCAAGGCACGTATGATCATGCCTCCTGGCAGTGCTGTTTGTGACTTTGGAGGCCTGTTACTTACAATCATGCAGCTGCAGCACAACCACAGGCACAAGGGCTAGCTGTTCTGCTGTTTGTTTGAGATTATCCCCCACAACTCATTGTACAGCAGTGAGGCCATTGGCAGCCCAGAGGTGCCAGCTGTTTGCCCTCATCTTGTTCTACAATCCCAACAGCGAACCAGTTGGACCAAAATCAGCTTGCAATAGGTTGGTTTCGTGCATGCTGTTGGCAGTGGGCGTCCCGTTGGCAGCCACATATGCAGCCCCCTACGCAAGCAGGGGAAGAGCACTGCCACTGGTAGCTGAGCTATCCTGAATGCGAGTGCAACAAAGCAAAGCAAGGTCTTGGCGGAGTTGCCACATCAGGTGGGCAACGATCGTTCCTCACTTAGCCTGTCCTGCTCCACAGCACCAGCGCATCAACTGCAAGCACCTCCAGGCCTGGCAATGCCCTTGCCCAGCCCTTCCAGCAGCCCACACAGTCACTGCGGCCCATGGCAGCTCCCTTTGTGCCCCGGACATGCTCAACCGGTGCCTTGGGCCCCACCTCGTCACAAGGTTCAAATAGGAACTGGGCAGCAGTTGCAGGGAAGACGGCGACCATATGTGCTGCAGACCACCTGGCCTTGGTATCCTGGGAGGAAGTGGGAATAGAGCCTGGGGTTGCAGATGAAGGCGATCGGTATCGCTTGGAGAATCATGAACACGGATGGACAGATTATGGGCAAGTGGAACTGCCGGAAAGCTTGGAATGTTTGTCCGAGGTAGGCAGTGGTAACTGGTGCATGCAAACATTGCTGACTGTTGCTGGGCACTGAGCCAGAAACTCAGACTATTGTATCAAAAGTTGACAGCCAGTGCCTTCACAGGTGTGTTGGCACACTAGCACTGGTAGCTCTGAATAGCTGTTGTGGTTGATGCCCACAGAGTGCGATGTTAAACCAAGAAACATACCCAATGGTACATGTTTGCACATGCTGCACATTGCTTGAGCATTAACCAAACCTTGCAGTCATGCCTTTTCCTTTCTTGTGCTTGTACCACACAGCAGTGCTTATGGCTGTTTGTAGACAACAGGAACAATCATAAGGCAACAAACAATGCGACTGTGAACAGCACTTGACAACACCTGTGAGGGCGAAATAATACCTCTGTCTCACAAGTCATGTCCGATTTGCAATTTGCACAGACAGAGATCAGAATGCGCTAAATAGAAAAACTCACTGAAACTACTTCGAAACGCCATGTCAAGAGCTATTTGTAAAGCCCTCAAACATTCCAAATGATGCTGCCATTCTTATGATATGCCAAGAGGAGCTGCAACGCAACATTTTCAATTTTATGGGCATTGGGTGGCGTACAACATGTTTGCCTTTGCCCTTAAGAAGAGGTGGATTGATCTGAACTGTCACTAGAAGAGAGGTATGCATTGGTGGTTTGGTGTGCACTAAAGGTTCGGCTTGATCCTGAACAGAATTTGCGAGAAAATGTATTTGGAGTTCGCTGCAAAATCTGGAGTGTTAACAACAACACCGTGCAAGTGATGGCCAAAGGCCAAGAGGCACCTTGATCAGTGCCAGAGCATCTATATTGCAGATTTGCCAAGGTTTTCAAGGTTTTACATACCTATGCCAACCAAGAGAATGCCCTCGATTGAAGTAAATGCGGCCAGTTGTTGTAAACAAGAATTTCGGCAGCAGGATTCAGCATATTTGATGAGACGATCCCCCAAAAGTATGATAGTAATGATGTGAAAATGTTCAAATTGTGCAGTGGTGCCTATTTGTTGTCTACAACAAGGTTCTCAATGAATTTTGGTGAATTGGGTTGGGACATACCAGAACATGACCTGTGCATCAATGCAGGGAGTGGCGGGCTTGCATGTTATTAAACAGGGGCATTTTTGAACAGGTTGTAAATGCCAAGTTGTGTGGTGATGACTAACATAGTAAAGATCCACATCAACCTAAAATCAACCAAAGAATCCAAAAATAGTAGCAGATTGATTGAGTGAGTGATCTTGCCCAGCTATAGCAAGAATTCGAGATCGGAAACGACTTATGAGACTGAAGTAATACGCAATTCCACCTAACAACTTCCAGATTATTTCCTGCAGTCCTCCAACACGACCATGAGACTGTACTTGGATGGCCCTGTTGGAGGGCAAATGTTGCATTGACAACAATTGTAGTTGTCCGTGCAGCAGGAAAACCTTTGGTGATCACACCTGTTGTCATGGATTGTTATGGCTGACAGCAGAAAATTGGTAACCGCGAATGGAATGCCTGCCACATGTTATTCATTTGCGATGGATGTGCCTGTCTGTGCTGTCCATCATATTGCATCAGTATTGTTGGTGAATGGCCCCTGGCCGCTATTTTGAACTTCGATACAACAGATCTTCCGTTATACTGAAGTTAACCAGAACTACAGGACAAACTGATGTCAGCAGATTGACACAGCCGATGCACAATGCAACTGGATGGAACGAGACAGCACAGCATCAGGCCCGGTGATGCCCTTGCTGTCGTGGTTCCAACCTCAGCCAGGGTATGTCTTGTGAACGGAGTCTCCACACATCGCACAATGATACAAAACGATGGGCATATCATATGTGCTTCCAGGGTGGTGAATGAGATTTACAACTCGTCTGCCATGTGTCACAGGTCAGGAGACAAGAAAACGACACTGCACACAGTGGCATTGAGGAACATGACCTGTGGGATGGGCCCCAGGAGTCTTGGGACGACGCAAACTCCCACAGACAGTCATTCTGTTGGCAATATCTCAATGGGGGATTTTGTGTGAATGGAGACAGTTGCACAATGCTGCACGGAGAGTACTGTGAGGTGGGTTGTTGTTGGCCATCAGATCACAAGGAATGTCAACATTCCACCCTTGAGAACAGTCAAACACAGTGCTGAGACAAAATGAAGGCCAGAATATGAAAACAAGTATGGGAACAAGTCATTTTTTGAGTGCCACATACATGTGCTAATTAGTAGCTGCGGCATCAGAATTTCGATGCGTATTCACAAGGTGGGTAAGATGTGCAAGGTGGCTGATCAAGCCATGCCGATGTGCTGTCGATGCAAGGGCCATGCAAGCATTCTGTGTGGAGCCGTTAATTGGATTGAAATTAGGCAGCCAGGAATCGAATTGTCTATGAAAACATCTGAGTGACCAACAGGCTCATTTCCCACCCAGCAGCCTGTCAGGTTGGAAGGCTGCTTGAATGTGCCAGTTTGGTGTGGCATGTGCGGCATAGACGTTGGAGTCAGAAACTGCACGAATGTCCTGAATTCGTAGAAGAGTGAAAAGTGATCTTCGTTTCCACAATGTCCACAGCACCGATCGATGCTTAGTGTTGCTTGAAAGCTTGGTGCCTGTCCCAGCAGACCTGTACAAAGTACTGCCTGCACCCCGAGGACGAGCAGGAGAGGCAGATGCACAAGGATGCCTGCAAGCAGCGCCACAGTCGGCTGGACGCATGCGTGCAGAGTGCTGAGATGGAGTGTGGGATATGCCTGGAGAAGGTGCTCAAGAACCCCAATCCAGCGCTGAGGAAATTCGGTCTGATGAACTGTGAGCACTGCTTCTGCCTGAGCTGCATACGCAACTGGAGGTCCAACAGCGATGGGGAATTTGACTTATCCGCGGTACGGAGCCATCTTTGTTGGGCATTTAGATTGTCTTTTCAAAAGTTGAATGGGGGCAGTGCCAAACATGCAAAACTGACTGCATTTGCCAAACATGTAAAACTGCATCGACGTGAAGATGTTAATGAAATGAACAGAAAGGAAAACCCACAAGGAGTACACTCATACGTGAACGTTTATGTAGTCAGATGGGGGGTTTTGATCATCTCTTTTTTTCTGTCTCAAAGTTTCAGAAGGCCCAAATTGGACGCAAGCATGGAGTTGACAGGTGGGTTCTAGTGAAATTATGTGCATGCGATCAACCAGGCAAGATGCTTGCAGCATAGGTGTCAAGGGAGCTGAAACGATGTCATGGAGTCGACATACCCCTAACAAGTTGTTTTGGAACTATTGCCAGTAGCAAGGAAAGTGCATGACAGTGGTTCGGTTTCTGCTGGATAGGCAGTGGCGATTTTGCTGGCTGTCGAATGTCGTTGTTCGCAGTGCATCATGACTGGCCTTGTGAACATTTCACAGTGATCTTTGCTGTCCATAGTATGAACTTCATACATGGAGCTATGCTGATGCTGCAGGAGGAAGTTTTTTTGCCAGCTTCTAGGCCAGTGCCTTAGCCATGGCCAGCACTGCAAGCAGAGTGCTGTCCTTTTGGTACAATCCATTGAAGTTCTCCACACAGCTTTACAGTATGTGATACATGCTGCATGTGAAATTGTGCAACGCAAAATTGCATTGCACAAGTGTTGTGCTGTAAAGAAATGATTGTGACTGATCTCTGGCTGGCCGTAGGCACTCCGTACGTGCCCCATCTGTCGCACAACCACGTACTTCATTACGCCCAGTGCAGTTTGGCCCACGAATCGCGAGGACAAGGAGCGCATAGTGGAGAGCTACAAGCAGAAACTGGCGTCCATCGACTGCAAGTACTTCAATTTCGGGGCTGGGGAATGTCCCTTCGGGACTTCATGCTTCTACCGCCATGTTGACAAGGATGGTGTTTTCCAGGTGCGTGACAAAATCGGGGCCCTGCCTGATTCGTCTGATTCCCCCTGATTCGCCGTTTTTTCTGTGTTTCCTTTGCAGCACAAAACTCTCATAGCATCGGCGATGTGCTTTGCATGTGCCAATGTCATGCAGCACTTTGGAGCAATGCAGTCTGCATATTGTGCCTTCCATCACACAGTGCTAGGAAGTATTCTTGCTGGCACCCTCGCTAGCACATCCATGCAAGGGGCAATCGTGGTTGGTATTTTTGCTTTTGTCCTTTGAGCGATCGCTGCTGTGATTCTTGCCATTTAGATAGCACTAGCCATCAGAACTGGGAATTGTGTTGCATCCATTCTGGGTTGACCGATCTCTAAATGCATCCACAACCCCGATTGTCGACACCTAAATGGCGACAATGTTGTTCTTGAATGGGCTGTCGTTCAGTTGGCAGTGTTGTTGCCGACCAGGATGTCAAACCTCGATTCATTGCCAATGCGGAAGGCGAAGTGAAGTCCGTTCGCCCGATGCACTTTGGTGACCTGCTCAATACTGCATCAGCAAGGCGGATCATGAACCGCCGGAGACGGTGAGTGGCCACTAGCTTGTGGGCTTGGGGAAGTGGCTGCCGGCTGTGCCAGTATGCGCATTGCTCATTTCATAATGGCAGGTGTGAATTTTTGCTTGAATTTTGATTGGAAATGGCTGAACGGGGTTGAGGCAGCGGCGACGCGTGGTGGGCGGGAGGGGGGGCGGGGGAGGGTGGGATTTCTCATTGGTGGCATGTACTTTGGCCGACCGTGATTGTGTTGCAATGGCCCCATCGGCGGCACAGCTAAATTTGTTTTAAATCGCTGTGAACATGGCATTGGCTTTTTGCTGGATGGACTACATGCGAAGACATAAAAGAGTCCCCACGTTCGCACAAGCTTCCCGAACGATGTGTTCATCAGACGTTGTTTGTGGCTGCCAGAGCACATATTATTGGCCGATTCTGTCCCATGCAGCCACTCCCGACAATGCACATGCATTTCCCTGGTCATCTCTGTGGATCTTCATCGAGCAGAGACACGGACAGCGCCTTATTGTTCGCCATGTGTGCGAGGATCACTCAGTTGTTTTGGATGCCCCATTCGCTCGTTCACACTCTGTGCAACGTCAGCACACAGATTGCGTGCCGGCCATCAACAGGGCTCACAGCCGTTGCCGCTCAGCTGACCCACCATTTCACCGTAGCTTCCTTTTCCTGCGAGGCCGCCTTCTTTCCAAAATCTCATACAATTGGGTGTCAGTTTGTCAGCACCTGCCTTGCATACTTGTAGGCAGGGCTCCAGCACGGCTGGCACAGGTCGACAGGGAGCTTCTGTTGCTTGTTCATTGCCGTACGGTCGGCGCCGCTCTCCAGTAAGCACTTCACAATCTCCACGTGTCCGCGCATGGCAGCCCAATGTAGCGGTGTGTTGTCCCCCTGTGCGTGGGCCGTCATAGAAGGGTAGTATGAAGAGTGGCGCTCATCAGCACAGCAGCCACGTAATGCTGAATAGCAATCAGCGGGCATCATACACTTCTGTCCTCTATGTTCCACATGATATGCATCATCTGTGCGTCGTGAATGACATGTCCGGAATATGCCGGAAGTTGTGGTATGCATTGTTCGTAGTGTGCAACTGATCTTCATGCACCGTCTGTGGATGGATCAATCAAGGTCGGGCGACTTGGACAACTGGCTAGGTAGTCCAATGGTCTTTTCCAGCCCGCAGTTTCTACGACAATACATTCAACCATTCCGCATCAAACAGTTTACCGTTGTGCCTATTGCTCCGCATTGTTTTCAGAGCGTTATTTTTAGTTCGTTTACGCCGCTCCGCAAAAAGTTTATTGCAAGAGCGTCATTTGTCCTGTTGTTTTCTCTGCAGCCAAAGGCCAACCGTTACGTTGCTGTGTGGAAGGGCTGAATATACTACGGTAAACAACATTTGTGCGAGCATCATTTGCATGGTACACTCGGTCCACGTGGCGCCTCTGGCGCAGACGTCAAGTGCTGTCTCTGTGCTTCGTGCGCATTTTTCGGTCTGCATGACCTGTGTTCCTGGGCAACAGGCGGCAGATTCTGCAACCCGCCAAACTCTGATGGCGAGCGTGGGATGAACTCAAACGAAAACAGACGAGGCGGACAGATCAACACACCTTGTGTCTGCTCGCGTGCAACACGCCGGATGTGAAGGGTTCCATGGAACGACGACGCGTCACATGCGACCATCAGTACTTTGTGTGCTGACGACGATACCGAGAAAATAGATGGAGGTGCCGGATTTGGCCCACTCCGGCACAGTTCACGCTACTGGTACTCGAATTTCGGCAAATTAGCAGGAATTGAACACGGAACTAAATCGCACAAACTGACCAAATTCTTGGTCGGTGTTTGGCGCATTGCGGTAGCGCATGTGTCAGGGGCTTGTGCCTCGACGAGAAGCGCCTGGGTGCCGTTCACCTCCAGGACGCAAGACTGGCGGTTGGCCGCGCTCTGGCAAACGCAGCCAAGGATAACGACAGGGAACCTAAGTGCCTGGTCGCTTGCGTGGGGCTGAGTCCTCAGTGCTGTAGGGTGAAAGAGCGGAATGGCATCGCTGATGGCCTCACCAGGTCGATACAGTTGACGTCAGCCCCTCGCTCTAACAGAAATTTGACGGTGTTCAGATGCCCGTTGTGTGCTGCCCTGGCCAACGGAGTTTCCTTCATCTGTCACATGCCGCGAGGGGGTTACCAACAGTGCAAATTCTGCGCTGCACAGAGTAGCCGGGATGGTTTGGACACAGCGGCTTTGCACGCTGCATGCGATAGGAACGGTGTCCAATCTCATGTGACGTGGCAGCGCGCAAGCCCATGAAAGCGGCAATTCGTCACTCTTGAGGTGTGCTGTTTGGAGGCAGGCAACGGGGGTACCATGCTCATGTGTGGACAGGCTTGTTATTGACATTTGCAGCACCATTTCTGCATTTAGTTTTTTACTCATAAACGGATAAATTGAAAATGATCGTTCGCTGGCCCATGAAGCATCAAGCGATCCACCCGGCCAAACAACGGCCACTAAAATGGTCGCCGTGAGCACCCCTCGTTTTGGCTTGTGCCCATTCAGAGCAGCTGCGCAATTTGACGCCACGACTTCAGAGTTTTACAGCAATTTGGTATGAGCCGAACAAAATCCAACTGCCGTGATTCCAAAAGACAACAAGGCTGTCTCTTGAATGAATATTCATCAAGCTGTTTCTTTGCTACAACTCTGCAACAGAGTGACAGTGTTTGGTTCGCGACAAACTCTTTCGATCGTACTCTTTCGATCGTGTTGTGTGGGACACCTGGACTTTCTTCTGTCCCGTTCCATCCATGAGTGACTTTACCTTGAAATTGGAAGGACGTTGTGCGGCTTAGAAAAAACTGCCTGGGCATGACTTCTCATTATTCATACCGTCCGTACGATCATTTCCAAGCATCCCAACTGCAAATTTAAAAGTATCACGAATCCTTGCCAACCAAGGTTAAATGATAGAGGGTGCTTACGTATGGTAAAACCGTGGCAAAGAGTTCCCAAATCCTCCATTCAAAAACGGGGTGAGAAGGAGGCAGCCTTATGATTGATCGGATGATTGGGTTTCAAAGACCTGGCGGCTATTCCCCTGGTTTCGCTACTCTCTTCTTTGTGTTGGTGGAGGATCCTCTTTCTTGTGCTCATTCACCGTATTGGTTTCTTAGTAAAGGGACGCTTTGTGGCATGCTTATTGTGTTCGATATGCTTATGCGATGATATAGCATATGGTTGAAATTTCGAGGGGGTGTTTATGGACGATGAGGACTCTAGGGACACCAAAATACAGAATTATGCTGTGCAACAGGCAAAAATTCATGCTGTGTGGCGCTGCTGTCTGCTGCAAATTCAGTATTTCTTGCTTTGAGTAAATTTGGTAAATATTGGGGTATTTCTGCGCCCGCGGCTTATTTCGATATACTGATCAATTGGCGTCTGAGTTCCTCCTGACTTGTTGTCGATTATCACTACGTGTGAATCCTGACCTCTTCTCCTACCACATTTCTTTGCTCAATGTCCGCCCCTTCGTCCAGCAGAAGAGCCGCCACTGTCGTGTGACCTGTGCGCTGGACCTCTCAGGAGTGTTGTTTACGTTTACGGCACCATTTCTACGTTCACGCCTTTCCGCGCAAAAACGCGCAAATAGAGAAACAGCCATATTTACGTATTTTTACGGCTCGCCTACACACCCAGTTTACATGACGATGTCCCCATCAATTATCAGTCCCCCACACCCTCGATCACAGGCACCGTAGCGTCCACATCGCCCTCGGCAAGGCAACGACGCCGTCGGACAAAAGATCGTTTTCTGCACGCTTCAGCGCTTCTATCTGTCACTCCCCGGTCCCCTGAATCTGTGTGTATTGAATTCAAGTAAACAGAGTCCATTTCCGCACATTTTTATGCCTATATTATGCGTGCAAATTGACACTGCACAATCACTGCGCACTGTCCATTGTGGATGCCCGTCAATACCATTTCCTGCTGCGAGCAGCAGCGGTGGATCCCCGCAGTGGTCCGCTTCGTTTAGTGGCGCTCCCTGCATTCACATGCAGGATACAATATGCGTTATACATCATGAATTGAATATTTGCCCTGTTTCCATGCATAGAACTGGCGTTTCCTCATCGGCCAATGCGTTGATCACAAATGCTAATAAGTCATGACCCGCTGCTATGGCATATCAAGGGGATACCGACCGTAAGCGCTTGCATACAATGTCAGCGATATTCAGTGACACAATCTCCTAATCGAAGTTGGAAATGACATCCATTGTAACTCGCTGAGATGCATTTCTCACCCTCATATGATGAAGCACACAGAATCATGGCATCTACCGAGACGGCCCAAATTCTGAGCGAAATCGAAATCGCAACTCACTGGCGGCAAGCACCGTAGATGCTATAGTCAAGGGATTGGAAATGCGCCATCCCCGATGATTGGCGCAACTTTTGAGAAGTGATTGCTGAGCGTTCTTGATCAGTTGCCAATGAACCTTGGCAATTAGGCCTACGATCTCAAGTGAATAAGTTGATAATGGACACAGCTTTGCTTGTAAATAATAGGAAGCTGAGGACTACTTCAAGGCCTTGTTATGTAAAATCAGTGAAGATGACGAATAGTTTAGATGGCATCATCTAAGCATCATTTATTTGTCTATTATGGTGATTGAATCACGCTAAATTGATTGCTTTACACATACAAAAACCAGGGCAAACTGGCGGTTTGAAAGGCTGCAACCAGTTTAGGTATCTCTGAATTTCCTTGCAGTTTAATGATGTTTAAGTGAAAAACTGAACCATTGGCTTGCGGCACAACATCCTGTATCATTCATTGGACATGTTTTAATCGGGCAACTGTACAGCCAAGTACCGCCTCATCCCGTGAACCATCGAACATCATGACGGACACCAGCTCAGCAGCCTGACGTCGCGGCTCACCTCCAAGATGTGCTCCCTGACCCAGTCGATGTACCCATCCACGCAATCGCGCCAGATGTTGGATTTTTCGGGCACAAACTTGCCGGTCTGTGGGAAACGGAAGCGCCACAGCGTCATCCAGGAAGCCGCATAGCGGGACGAGTAATCGGGGCATTGTCCCCCGGGAGAACGCCGCGGTGCACCCTACAATGAGGTCGAAGGGCATGGCTTCCGCGATGGAAACGCGATGGTGTTGACACTACTGTTGAAGGCGTCGTTGCTTCCAATCCACCGGTTCGAGTTCTCGGAGGCAGGTGAACAGACAGGACGGATGGCTGACCCTTGGGTCGTGGCGCGCCCGCTCAGTTCCCGGATGTCAGCGATCGGGCGGCACCGGGGTTGTTCACTGAAATGCTTGGGATCAGGGGAAGGCCCTTGCGCGCATGAAATTTGCACCAGAAATGATGATGATGAAATTCATGATGATGCTGATGAAATTTGCACCAGAAGATACACTTTTTATACATTTTGCTAATCTATGAAAGGCAACAATGACAGTAAAGCATCAAGCCTACGCTTGTACGATAAATTGCGATACTGCAGAGACACTCAATTTATCAGATGCCTCTGTTGATGAGATTTGGCCTTGGGTTAACTTGTCGTGGCAAAGAAACAGTTTGCTCAGCATTGACAGCCATGAGGCACTCTGCTTGTCTGTATTTCAAAACTCTCAATCTGATCTGGGAGATGCATCGACATGTGAGCTGCAATTTCATCATCATCATGAAATTTTGTATAGCGGGGCAGGGGCTGGCCGTCAGATGCCTATCTGGCCCGAGGAAAGCGATGTATACGATTTTGTTATTCATGATGTTGTTAGCTGCATTCAAATCAGCCAAGATCTTAGGTCTTGAGAAGGTTGTGTGCAACTTCGATATCCTTCACACAAACCATTCGCTTTGTGAAAAGTGCATATTCCAGAATGTGTCCTCTGAAATGCGAACTTTTGAACCAGCGTGCTCTACCCACAATAGCATCAAGTTCTGGTTGGGAACTGATGTGAAATTTCCACAAATTTCAACAGCTAATGAGGTGTACTCTTTGAGAATTGAAATTTCCACAGATTGCAATCGGTAGTTGCCAGGAACTGCACTAAAGAAATCCATAATGCGACGTTTTGAAAAGCTTGGCCAATCCCAAAGGAGCTCCCACGCGTATAAAATTAGGAGGTCCTGCAGAGTTTGATGCAAGATTACAAAGTACAGAGGCATCTGCGCCAGCACTGCGATTATTGGAATATGTGCTGCCACAAGAAATTGAAGCTTTTGATCAAAAGTTGTTGCTGCGGTTCTTGAAATAGCTAAACTTTAATAACACTGCCTGCGACAGTTTTTCATAAAATGCTCATGTTATTTATGCCACAATTTTAAATCAATTCCATCTGTCTACAAGCTCATTAAAACTGCTTATTGCAATTGATGTGGACCCTTTGTGTTTTTCACAATTAATTCCTAAGTGGCCAACAGTTGCCCAATTTCCAAATCAGCCAGTCAACTTCTTTCATTCGCACGCGCCGCGTTTTTCAACACTTGTGGATTCAGACCTACTCCCTCTTTTGCGTAATTAGAAACGCGGCATAGCAAAATGTCATGGAGCGTGAGAATTGCACAAACTTGCGTGAAAATATTCCCAATGGATTGTGCTTGTAGCTGGATCAGGCTTGGTTTTTACGCCATAAAAACTGATCGTATTTACGTTTTTACGCGTAAAAACAGTTTTTACGTTTTTACGCGTAAAAATGCGTAAAAATACGTAAATACAACGTAAAAACTGCCCGGTGTACATAAGGACAGTACATACAAACTTACGGAGTCCGGAGAGTGGCAGCCAGACGCCCTGGAAGGGGCAGAAAACGAGTTTTTGTCAAACACTATCATCGCCCTTGCCAAGGGCGAGGTGGACACTGTGTTGCGGGTGCTGGATATGGCGGAGGACTGACCATTGTACGCAATTTTGATCACGTAATATGGGCGTCCAAGGGAGCCGTAAAGACGTAAAAATAGCCGTAAAAATAGGGTCTTTTGCAAATTTACGTTTTTACGCGTAAAAACGTAAAAGTAAAAACGTAAACGTAAACGTAAAAACCAAGCCTGAGCTGGATAATCTTCCCGCAACATGCATGTTCGAACCTTGTGGTAACTTTCATTCATTATTCAGAGTCTCAGGCCCTTGCACTGAGCGGATGGGCCTCGACGCGCGTTGACTCCAGAAAAGGTCCCCATGACAGAATTTCAGAGTGTCAATTTTAGGGAAGCTGAAACTCCCCTACCGGACATTGTCCTAATCGGAAAATTTTCCAGCGCTTTTGGCATGGAAAAGCACCGAGTCAGGCTTGTCGAGATGATACTCTCAGTGTCAACAGGGAGATGCATTCTCTATCCAGAACGTACGAAAGCGACAAGATTTTTTACACCTCGCTACCTGCTCGCCGTCGACATGCAGAAAGCCACATAGGCAGGATTCGAAGTGATGGCTTGCGGAGTCCGCTGCACAACCACTGTGAGTGGCGAACAGCACAACGGCAGCGGGAACAGCTCAGAGAAAGCAAACAACCTGGCAACCTGGCTGGAACCTATGCGGAGACCCCTTCGGGAGAAGTTGTGGCCACTTGGCTAGCTGGGAGAGGGACGTGAGTGGCGGAGAGAGCCTTTGGCGGGATAGTGGCGAGTGGAGAGAGTGTCGCCACCTTGATAGCTGGATGGGAGACAGCGTGAGGCTGTGAGTATTCTTGTCTCATGGACAACACAATGGATATCAAGGATGATTAGGTGCTGGTTTTTCTGGATTCTGACATTGTCTATTTTTGCCTGTGACTGATGGGATAGGGAACCAACCGACGGTGACTAGATGAGCCGGGCACGACAATAGAATATTCTCACCGCCAGGACATGGCAATACGATCTGGAACGCTGCACCGGCATATTTGCACTGTGCTGTATCCTATGACGTAATCTGGTTTTGGGCCCACGAGGTTTCCGTTGTGCTGTGGGCGAGCACGCCCGGATAGTATCCCGTGATGGGAGAGTAGCCTCGTCGTCGGGGCTGTAGCTATCGGATAGTACCCCCAGCCGGGGGGAAGCTGTATCCACTCGCCCAAGCGCGGGCGGCCGTGCCCACTCAGGACCATCGCTTTCGTTCGATACTTTGCCGATTACAATCTATTCGTACCCTGACGGCCCGTAGACCCCCCAGTGGCCGCCACACAACACTCTGCGCGAAGTTAAATCCCCTACGTGCGCAGCAGCGGAACAAACCAGAAACTCCACGGAATATGCGGATGCAGCGCGCAATACGTCGCCCCTGGGCCCCGGCGGCGCCTCCCCTCGCGCGGCGCATGGCATGGACTCCCTGGTGGACGAGCCCGACCTGAGCGACCTCAGGAGCGCGCCCTGGGGCCCCTTGGGCCGCGGCGTGGTGATCGCGGCCGTCGCCACGTTCGGCCGCTTCGTGATGACCGTGATGAACACGACGCGCGTGGTCAACGAGTCGAGCGCCCACGACGCCATCATGGCCAGGCCGCGGGACGTGGGACTGGTGACCGTGTCGAACCACACCAGGCATGTGCGCCTTGGCCAGGGCGCGCTGGGATTGAAGGATTGAAGGGATTGGTGGAGGGTTTTGAATTGGCGGGGGGGGGCGCGCAATGTGGCCATGGGAAGGTGATGAGGATGGTCGGCTGTGCGAGGGGAGGCGCAGGGGCGGGTGCAGCGCGCCTGGCAATGTTTTGAGGGAAGAGAATCCTCTCGCGTTGCGATGGTCCGCCCTGGTGGGAAAATGGCGCGGAGCTTTGGAAGGAAGTTGGCGACGAGGAATGACGTGGTGTCGGGATCAGAAGGGAAGTAACAAAGTTCCGCGCGCGCCAGAGTTTTGGTTACGGATCCGCGCCGACACCTCGTCCATTTTGGATCAGATACGGGTGCGTGTTCTGATCGTTGGGGGTGCGTATGGAGATCGCCATGCCCGTGGGAGATCTGCCTTTGGACAGGGAACTGTAAATATGCAACCCTGCAGCGGAAATTTAAGGCCACCGGGAAATGGCTTCCCTTGACGTGCTTGGGGGTCCGGCATCCAGAAGCTGGTTCATTAAAGCAACCATTTTGATCATGTATCGTGAAACATTTTGTGCATCCTGTGTAATTCCATTAATTACATGCACGTTGCAACAGTGCCAAAGCCTGTTCACCCAAGTGTATATAGGCACTGAATACCACAGCAGACATGGTGCAATGTTCAGGAATGGGTCCGGTCCAAGAAAATTGCGCATTCTGTTATTCCCAACTCCATCAAGAGGACATGGTGTGCTTTGTGTGACAAGCATGAATAGCCACCCTTGTGCAGCTGGCCAGACCACCACGAAGCCCACTCTTTTCTTTGTTTTTGCCTGACAGCACCTTTGATGACCCTGGCGTGATATCCATTCTGGCACCTGGAAAGTACTTCCTGCAGGAATACTTCCATGGCGGCACGCGGTGGTCAGTGTGCGCAGAAGACATCTGTTTCAGAAACGAATTCCTACGGTATGTTTCCCTGGTGAATCTATCTTATGCCTGGCGCCAGTTGCTCCCAACATTGCCCTGTATAAAAAGCTGAGTTGCAAGTCGAAATTGCAAACATGAGTGCAATCTTCCCATTTTGGGGTTTGAATTGTGGATGCACAAACAGCGGCGCCCAAGCATAATTCCTGTATAGTTTACTGGGGATGTGCATTGGGCACATGGCATCTTGGCAGCCACTCTGTGGGGTACCACTCCTGTTAACTTGCCCTTTGAAGCAGACATTTATTGCTGATGTGTTAAGTTTCTCACCTCCCTGTGTGTGCTGGTATTTTCCCACCAATGCAACAGCCATGGCGTTCATCGCTGGCCCTATCCATGCAATCAGTGTGTTGCCTTGTGTGCACTGTCACAAGTGTGCTACCTGTCTTCAAGTGATGTGGGTGCAGCCAGCATGCAACCACAAAATGAAGGATAGATGCACCCATGGATGAAACAAGACACCTGCTGGCAAAAGTAAATGAATAAATACAGCCTGTATCCCCTAGCCTGCATTGCGATTTGCTGGGCATCAATCGATGTTTCCATCTTCTTGAAGTATGGAACTGAGTATCACACTAAGTTGCTTTGGAGTGGCTACCCTTTGTGTGACCTGTTAATTTGCCACGAAGTAAGTCTTACCACTAACCTGTGTTGCCATCGAAGCAATTCTGTTTGCAAGAACAGTGCTCAATTTCCTGTGTTTAAACAGTTGTGTGGTCTGCTAGCCAGTTCTTCTTGACTGGAAAGACTCTCCCAATCACGCGCGGGGGAGGTGTTTCACAACCTGTCCTGCAGGGGGTCTCACAGTTTGTGCAACAGGGAGAATGGCTGCATATATTTCCTGAGGGGTATGTGGGGACCACGGGAAACTTGCGGCCACTGAAGTGGGGCATTGGAAAAATCATCTGCGATGCAGTGAAGGAGACTGGGGGGTATGTTGCTGTTCATTCCAAGTGTGCATTGCACAGTGAAATAGGTGTTCCACCTGTCCAGCAATCTCATCCCAGCAGCTGTGATGCAAATTGCCCCACGAATGCCTTGAGCCCTGGCCAGTGGTTGGAAAGTGTTGTGGAAGCCTGCGGCTGTACAGAGTGTCTCGTGGACTTACTCACAGTACAGTAGCCACTCTCCCTAAACTCGATCCATTGAGTTGATCCCAATTGGCGCTCTCTACATTTTGTTGTCAGTTTAGTTGCAAGTGCAAACAGTCATGTTGACATTGATTGGTTGCCTCATTATTACATTCCTGGCACCTAGGCGCGTGGCAATGGGCCAAACATCATGTTTGCAATCTGGAAAGCTTAAGGAGTGCCATTCCTTGCCTCACACCTGGTATATGCTGTGTTCTTCGAAGCGAACCTATGGTCCTGCCTATCTACCACAGTGGCATGGAACAGGTGATGCCCAGGAAAGCCAGATTCCCACGATGGGGGAACGAAGTCAGAGTGGTGGTGGGGCGGCCACTGGACCTATCAGGCCTCACCTGCAACTGTGGCAAGGAGGGCACAGAACAGCAGGCGTGGAAAGATATCACAGAACACATTCGGAGGGCCCTCATGGAACTCCAAGACGGGGAGGCACAAAACGGCGCAAGAACATTTGTGAATGGTGGAGCGAGTAATGGGGAGTAGACTTAGTTTTGCTGTGGCAACTGTGCCAGGGGTTTGCTTCCATGAGGCATTGCTGCTGGCTGTGTATCCATGCCTGTGCCACTTTGTATTGGCGGCGCCTTGATCATAGAGCGAAATGTACATCGACGAGTTGCAGGACAGAGACACAAGCAACAGCGCCTAGGGCACCTGCAATAGCAAAATAATGCCCAAGGCAGATGCACGCCTGAGCCACGTCACCCCATTCCTCAGGATGGGGTGCCTAATGTGTGGCCCTTTTTCCTTTTGTCGCGATCAATGATCTGAATGTGGCAATTTGTTGAAGAATTTGTGTCGCCCGCGCACCAGTTGACAAAGTGGCGCTGAGCGCTGCAACGTGAAATCAAGACTGTGTGCATCCTCCCCGCCTTCAGCAGTGGACTGGCGAGGAGGGGAGAGAACCTGGCATAGGCGACAATTGGCGCCACTTTTCAGGAGACGACTCTCTTGAAAAGTGGGGCGCCCTCAGCTCCACCAGGCGACTAAAATACAAAGTCCCCTCGACACTGGAGCACGCGTTGCGCCCGTGGCAAGCAACAAACGAACCTGCACCCAAACATCTTCGCCAAGGCCAGATCCAGCAGCTGCATGAGGGCAACTCCATTTCATTAGTTTGCAAATCCATTGCGTTCAGCTGTCTGCGCAAAAGAGTGCCATTGGCATTCGTCGAATTTCGGGCTTGCCAGACAAAGCAAGGCGCACACTGTTCCACAGAACAAGTTGCGGATTGGTGTGGAACTTTCATTCCATGCTTCACACGATGCACACATGCACATATTGCCATATTTATTCTTGGATCCCTTCGCTTCTCCATCATGTTGGAGGTTACCTGCACGCTACATTAGTCACGGATGGCGATGCTCAGGAGATCCTGTTGTACTCCACCATACCAGCTTGCCCATTTTTGACATCGTTGCCTTTTGCTGCTGGTGAGCATGCCAGAAACTGCTTTCACTGCAAATGCCAAGTCCAAGCTTCGTCACAAATAATTTTGGTGCACAGGTTTAGAAGTTTTAAGCACAAACAGATTCACGAGTAGGGCAGTGGTGGTGCTAGCAGAAAGCCACTGCAAATGGGCAATTGTCATCATTTTACACCTGATTGCCACATGCACCTCGTTGACAATTCTTCGTCCCGAGACTTGCCCTCGAGTCAGCATCGTCCCTTATTAACTGCCAGACTGCCTGTTTTGACAGCAGTGCACATTTCCTCGCTGATTCTTTCCTGTGATTCGATGTGAACGGTTCTTGGTGACATTTTGGAACGTGGCACGACACTGGTCTGTCTTGTCCATTTTGAGTAGCAACAACAGCATTCAGTGCCGCGTTGGGCATTCTTGCTGTCGCAAAAGCCGCGTCTCTTAAAGCCAGGCGCATGGGGGGCCTTCTCATCTGTCTCTAGATTGGGAAGGCATATTTCCCATTGTACGGCCATGCACCTGCTGGTCAGGTGCAAGGAAAACGCGAGGCCGGGTGACACCGTATCCCATTTGAAGACAAGGCTACTGTGTGTCCTGACCGCCAGTTTCCTTGAGACAGTGTCACTTTGGATCATAGGCTGCGCGTGTCTCTGCTGCGTTCATTTGACTGATAGAATATTGTCTGGAGCCAACAATTGGGAGGGAAGAAGAGTTGCATTAATGACATTATGTGCCCGCCATCGCTAACTTCGCTGCAGATTTTCTGGCTTGCAATGCCCCTGGAGAGCTCAATTCAACATTTGCACGAACACCGAGAACAATATCAGCATTCGCCAATTGTCTTGATTTCATCGTCAGCGCTTCTGCCCGCATTCAATGCAGTCACCATACGAAACAAGGACCCAGAAGGCGCTACCCATCCAGCGAACTCTCGACCCTCAGCATCGATTAATGTTCCAATATATTTTCTGCCGGATATATCCGCTTAATCATAAAACTCCTTGAAGGATATTGTTGAATCAAGAAAATTGGCATACCAAGGGAAGGAAGCTGCCGTGTTCTCGCAATTTTGCCCAGGAAAATCATGGAACTGATTTCTTTCCAAGAAGAAAAGGACTACAATATGAATACTTGGAGCGCACCAGTTCCCATACTATCAGGAGAGACTGTTGGTAGTACATCAACGGAAGACGTCACATTATCCAGAATCCTTTTGTTTTGTATGCTGTTTACTTATGGTATAGAAATGCTCAAAGTGAAATAAACTGACGGCATCGTCGCCCCACAATATGAGCTGGTTGGTCTTCTGAATTTGGCATTCACCACTCCGTCGGCAGCCGACCTGTACAAGACTTTCGCAGTGCCCGCTGGAGGTGGCTCCTATACTAATGACTTCTGCTTCGGGTCATTTTATCTTTTTCTTGGTCGCCCAAGATTATTAAGGATGCGGCGCGCATTCGTTGTCCCAGCCAGTTTCGACTCTCTGACCCGACCAAGAGTCGCTATTCCCAACCCCGGGCAAACCCCTCAAGACTCCGCCCGTGCAACTTGATGCACGCCGCAGGCTACCCCACGCTTCGAACTCTTCTCTCATTTGTCAATTTGCCGATACAAGTGTATTTGAAAACAACTGAAGACGCATGTTCAGGTTCAGTTAAATCATAAATGATTTAATGTCGTAAATGCAAAAGAATGCAGAAACGAGATGTTTTTTACTTATATTTTGTTATGGCTCAAAATCCAAAACACATGCCATTTGTCTTTTCACCTCGTCTAGCTTTGCTGTATACTATTAGGTCACCATGTAAAATTGATTTTATTGATTTGAGCAGGTGAATTGAACCGCACAAGCTCAGGTGGTAGTTGCTTCTGAGCCTGGTAAGGCTCATCGAATTGACTAAGTTACTTTTGATTGCATCTACCATATATTCACCGCAAAATGTTACACCTGGACTAGTTTTTATGCCATTTATGATGTTGGTTGGCACAAGTTATTCATATTTCTACTTTAGTGCCATTTTTGCTCACATGAAAATATGCAAACATTTCCACATACCTACCTGAAATTGTACTTTAGAAGTACGTGTGTTTAGAAAGCCACATGATCCATGCGAGGGACGCACGAGTGCTCCCTCGTCGCCAGGCCCACAGACGCCTATCTCCTCAATCGCTGCAACTACGGTTACGGCAGCCGTGGAAAACTGCTTGAAGGCCAGAAGGACTGCTTCGGCGCGTTTCCAGTCAACATTCCACCAAAAAGAATGGCATTCAACAATTCCTGCAAAACGCGCAATTAAATGCGCATGTCAAAAGAATTTTGCGTGATATGTATCAATTCGTAGCTCAGTGAAGCTAAGCCTGTCGGGGCAGGCACACGGGCGTCGTACGGCGCTCACGGATTCCAGAACTGCCTGTGCCACGAGTGCGCACAGCGCTGATCGTTCACTTCGAAACTCTATTATTGTGTGCGCTCCGTTCGGCTGCCAAAGAAGCGCCGCTCGCCCTTGCACAAACGCAACGTGCTTTCATAAGAAACAAGGACACTGTTTTGCAGGACACGGCTCACAGTACAGGTCCAAAGATGGCGGCATTAACGGTGATCAAAAGTCGGAGCGCAAGCACACGCTTGCACCAAGCTCAACAACTCAGAGTTTGGGCTCACGTGCAAGGCACTGTGGTTGAAAACGAACAAGCAAACACCTCCTCTTGCCCACGCACAAGTTTGCAACAAAAGTTGGGACGCCTCGTGCTGCTAGACCAGGGAGAGTCGAACCACAGCGAGTTGGTTGGACTCCCTGGTCAACAGCGATGTCCTGGGTTCCACAGAGTCAGGAAGCAAATGGCTTTGTACGATCAAACCGAGAGAAGCTCCGTACAGGCGCGCGCTTTTTCAAATATCCAGACTGTTGCTTCCTAACAAAAGTTTTCATTTACAAGTCACCGTCCAACACCATCCAGCGCATAAGCCGACAAATTGCACAATTGCCGCCAGAAACTCGGGACGTCATCACACGACCACGGATCTGTCATCCAGCGAGATCCAACTCGCAAGCAACTGCCCGTCTAGTGGCAAAATGCCAAAAGCAATGCCGCCAAGGTTCCAGAAAGGACTATACTAAAATCAGTTGATGAGCTCCTTTAAACGCACCAGCACTGAGCCCCCTAAACACGCATCTTGCTCACTGGCGTTTTCTTTCTGCATCACATGTAAGGAAATTTTGAATCCGCATCCATGGACCCATTAGGGTTACAGTCAGAGTGCTGCATTTACACGGGCTCAAAACTTTGTACACTGATATTTGGAGTCACCAGATCATTCTTGACCCAAGAACAATTCGCAGTTGATTGGTTTCCTTAAAATATTTAAAACACAATCATATCCGCATTCCCTGATTATGATGCTATATTCTGTCATCAAAGTATCATGCCGTGTCGATGATCCGACATTGCAAGGAAAACTACGACCTAACATGGTCACGCCGGTCCACCCCTGCAAGGATAACGCATGGCATCAAGCACCTCAGGCGACAAGTCGCAAATCACATCTGTCATTAAAAGGTCAGCCCAAATGCAGCCTCAATTTCGTTCCTCAACTTCTTGTATCGCATTTTTGCTTCTCATACATCTTCGACACCAGGCCACGCCTGCAATGGCGCTGCATTTGCTTCTTGCGTATTATTGGTTGCATACATAATTTCAATGGGGAATGTTTGGCCTCACAGGAAAGTTTGGGAACATTATAGATTTGGCTGAGTAGTCAAGAACCGTTGGGTTAACGGCGCGAACCAAACAACGCAGTCCTTGAGTTGAACTGTCATGATTCAAAAGCCTATGATCACCAGACCATGAGCAACAATCCACAGTGAGGCGCAATGTGTTCCATGCGTCCAAAGGTATGAAAACTCAACAGAATTTATCCGTACGTTGTCCAGGAAAGGATAGACATCGTGTCCAGAGGGTTGAGCCAATTGCACAATAATTTGGGAATGCATCCGCAGCTGCTACATGACATCTGCGTTGGACGCGGCGGCTGAGGTCTCCAACGGGCGGTGGCGCAACAGCC